TAATCGCGGGATATGCCCAAATTGACCAGGGTCCGTGCACCCTTTTTACTCCTGACCCCAAGGGAGCCTTCCTCCATGGATATTACATCACCAAGTTCATCAGGGTCTGCGCACCCTTTTAGACTTCTTTTTTCACTATCTTCTTTACGTCAAGTTACATTGAACAAGGTGTTAACTAAGCGGTGATAGGTACTATATAGACGTGCGAAGGATGCAAGCACAGCATGGTTTGGCTGTAGGGCTTGGTTGAACTTAGAGCAAGTGTTTTGCGCTCCTATATTTTTTTGATTCTTTGAATAGAACCTTTGTAAAGAAATCGAGCAGACAATACCTGAAAGAAACAAGAGTCAAAGACAACATGCAATGCTATGAGTACACGAATTTTACAAAATTTCAATAGGAAATAAACTTGGCAAGTTAGCATTGAAAGGGGGACGTCAGCACCCTGTTCACCGTTAAAAATCCGTGCAGCTTTATTGGAAGAGGCATAAGAGAAGGCAGAAAATTGGTCCTAAAAACTCTTGACAGCAGACCACATGGATGCATTTAAGGATTTGCAGAAGCAACGTGTTGTGCTATGAAATTATTATGTACATGAATATTAAAAATAAGTTTTTAGTAGATCTTGATAAATGTTGATAAAATGTGTTGTTGAAAATTTATGAATATTATGAAATGTGGTTAAAATTTATTGTTGACTTTGACAAAATCAAAATTTTAATCCCTGCCAAACAGGTGTATCTCTTTCATTTATCTTTGTTGAAGGGTATGATTGTCTTTTTCGCCACCTTCCCGGATGTTTAAGGTAGAAACTAGAAATTATCAAAACTTATAAGGAAAATTATGGTTGTATACCATGTCATACAGTCCCCTCACATGTGAGGAGGGCCAACCATGAATAAAAAATAGGGGAGTGTACACCATGTTGTACGTACATGTAGCAGAGTTCAACTTATAATTGAATATAACGAGTGTTAAAAATAAAATAAAAATTGTGGGTTCTACCAAACTTGTGAATAAAAATAGAGTTGTTCAACTTGTAGATAATTATAAGATTTGGCAAACATGCATAAATATTTAGGAAAATTGCATTATTTATTCCCAACATTTCCTAGAAACTATAGTTTCGTCCCTACTTTTGATTTTTGGTCCCAAACATTCCTAGAAACATGCATAAATAACAATGTTTTCCACCCCAACCTTGTCCCGCAATTTTCTTTTTATGCTGTAAATATTTCGACTACCCAAACAATTACTTACTCCATTTAACATCTCTAATTAAAACCCCTTTACCCATGTCATGT